TAGTAGGGGAAGGATGGTTGTGATGCACGTTTGAGAGGGAGAGACTAGAATTTTGAAAAAATAGACTCTTGTGCTCTGATATTGTAATATATATAATTTGATAATAATTAATTTTATTTAATAATGAATGTTCCACTCGTATTTATACGAGAGAGTTCCAACTATAGAAAAAGAAATCAGCCAAAATAGAATTCCAAATATAAATCATATATTAATACTAGAAGTTCAAACTTAAACTTATATAAATAAGAGTAATTACAGTATATAAAATAGCTTCACCCTTTCTCTCTTCACCTTTGCACCATCTCAATCTCATCTGGTTCGGTTTCAGACCGGTATTCATCCATACCAATATTTTCTTTAGGGAATTTCTCTTGTGCCTTTCCTAATGAAGGGGCATGGATGCCCTCCCACTAAATTACTTCCATGTGGACTTTTTAGTCACATCATTTTAACTTTTAAAATTGCATAATGGCCATGTCTCTTTATCCTTATTTAATTTAACTCATCTACACATGCTAATGTCATTTAAAAATATTGTTTTTAAATTGAATCAATCATTCCGTTCTAAAAAAAGATTTTAATTTGATTTTTTAGGATCGAAATTAAAAACTTTGGCCATGAAATTTAAAAAACAATATGTTGAATAATAATATAAATTTAAACTACTCCCTCCGTCCCAAATTATTTGCAACGTTTACTTTTTCAGCAGTCGCGGGAACTTTTGTTTATTTCTACGTTTTCATTGATTATTTGATAAAATAAAATATTCTTGANTTAATTTGATTTTTTAGGATCGAAATTAAAAACTTTGGCCATGAAATTTAAAAAACAATATGTTGAATAATAATATAAATTTAAACTACTCCCTCCGTCCCAAATTATTTGCAACGTTTACTTTTTCAGCAGTCGCGGGAACTTTTGTTTATTTCTACGTTTTCATTGATTATTTGATAAAATAAAATATTCTTGATACCTCTTATTTCGAAGAACTTTTTCATGTAGTTTTTTGATATGTAAATTTTATTTTTTATTTCTATACCAATATGTAAATAAAATGAATTGAAAAAACTTAATATTTTGCCTAGGGAATACAAATGTGGCAAATATTTAGGGACAGAGAGAGTATTTGATTTGTCTTTAAGTATAATTTTGAAATATCATATTTTGTTATAAAATTTATTAATTATATATATATATATATATATATATATATATATATATATATATATATATATATATATATATATATATATATGAAGTACTAAATTTCACTTTCATATAATTCATATAAAAATTAAGAGTACTCCCTCCGTCCGAAAATGTTCTTCACATTCGACTTTTATTAGTCAAATTTTGTAAACTTTGACTCTAATTTGTGGAAAATATATATTATATATGATATAAATTTAAGAGTAAATTTATAATTGGTCCTTTATAACAGGGAGGTTTCCATATTTAGTCCTCTGTTATCATATATTACTCCCGTAGTCCTTTTTTTAAGGGAGTCTTTCCACAAATGGTCCTTTTTTTGATCTTCTGTCATGTCGGTGTTAATTTAAAGGCTAAAAGTATAATTTGACATCAACATTATGTCCAGTGACGTGTTCTGATATTGGTTAAGCGGATAACACAAAAATAATGACTATGATTGTGGGCTGGGATTCCAACGAAAGATCACATTTATAGACTATGGTTGTAGTAGAAAGCGACTATAATTCACAAACGACTCAAACGGAACAGCCTTTAGAATTGCGTATGATAAAAAAGATATATTATCATTGTCAAATTACACTTTTAGCCCTCAAATTAACACTAACATGATAGAAGATAAAAAAAGGACTATTTGTGAAAAAGATACTCAAAAAAAAAGACTACTAGGGTAGTATTTGATAATAGAGGACTAAATAGAGAAACTCCGCTGTTATAAAAGGATTAATTATGGAATTTACTCTAAATTTAATATCAATATATTTCTAATGAATCATAATTTTGAAATATCAAAATTTTATAAAATATACCTATGTACAAATATAGTTATTAATGGTCAAAATGTAGCATTGGAAATCGTGACAAGTCAAATGACAAGAAAATTTCCGGATAGAGGGAGTATATAAAGTTTTAATAATTTTTTTCTTTTGATTTTGACATAAGATTTATTTTGATTTTTTAATTTTTAAATTTTAATTTTTTTTTTTACTTTAATCTTTTTACATATAATATTGAAATATCTTTCAAGAAAACTAATTTTAAAAAATTAGTTTTTCTAACAGCCAAGTCCAAAAGATACTTTTTTTGGCTTTCTGAATTTTGACTTTTCAGATCAAACTGCCAAGTGAAAAAGCCATTATTCAAACACCGATTTTTGTTGTTCAATTAGTGAGATAACACTTTTTAAACTATTAGGTCTTCTATGTGACACTTTAACCATTAATATGCATGTATGTGTGTGTGTGTGTGTGTATAATTAATAAATTTTATAAAAAATATGATATTTCAAAATTATAATTAAAGACAAATCAAATAATTTAAATTTATATTATTATTCAACATATTGTTTTTTAAATTTCATGGTCAAAGTTTTTAATTTTGATCCTAAAAAATCGATTTAAAACTTTTTTTGGAACGGAATGATTGATTCAATTTAAAAACAATATTTTTAAATGACATTAGCATGTGTAAATGAGTTAAATTAAATACGGATAAAGAGATAGGGCCATTATGCAATTTTAAAAATTAAAATGATGTGACTAAAAAGTTCATATGGAAGCAATTTAGTGGGAGGACATCCATACCTCTTCATTAGCAAAGGCACCGGAGAAATTTCCTTTTTATTATTGAAGATATTAAATGTCGAAAGAATTTGTTGTGGGTTGTAATTTGTAAATGGCAAAATGAAGACCGAGCAAGTTTAGAATTGGGCCTAAACTGAAATTTGAATGACCTAACAAAGAACTGCTTAGGCTATAAGTATAATGAGTCTAAAACCAATTTGGAAATAATTCGATCTGCTGAGGAGGCCCAAACACATTTAAACTTGGATTCTTAGAAAACTGAAATGGGTCTCTGCTAAAGTGTTCTTAATCATCTCGTAAAAGTTTTCTACAATTAACCGTCTTAAAATAAAGTTTCACTTTCTATATTAGACAGTTTTGTAATTGTTAATGTTATTCCACTCTTTTCTGCATCACTTTCAAATATACATTTCACCTTTTTTTAATTTTCGTTGAACATTTATACAAGACGGATGAAGTATTGCATACTTAGTTTTTTTCTAATCTCTAACAAAGTTATTAGTTGATTAAGTTCAACTCGATCAATTTTTAAAAATTGATCACGATTAAATTCGGATTATAGAACGATCTCTAATACTCGTCAAAAAGGGAGATTTTGGGTTGTAAAACGAACGAATCGAATATTAGTATAAAATTTTATTTCTATTTTAAAAATGATACAGTTATTCATATTCATATTTGTTTTTTTTTCGAATAATTAATACTTTTCATATTCGATTTGATATTAAAATCTGTTATACAATACACATTTTGAATTTTTTTTACTACTTTCCCAGTGTATTTGTCTAGTTTGACTTTTTCGAGTCAAACTGGACAATTTTTAAACTCTAATTACTGTCAATTTATATTACATATTAGCATAATGAAATTTAATTTTGAAAGTTCTCAATACAATAAATTCAATAAAGTCATTTTTATGTTAAAATATATTACGGTTTTTATTTAATTGAAGCTTAAACTTTGTCCAGTTTGACTCGAAAAAGTCAAACTGGAGAAATATACACTGAGACGGAAGGAGTAAAGTTTCAAAAGTTTTTACCTTGCAAATTAATCATATACTCCATCCTTTCACCATTTTTTAGTTAGCCAACTCTCTTGGGTCTTAGTTGCTAGCGCATGCTTATTGGGCCTGTCATCCGAACCAAAAGTCCACAATCATTACATCACCAACTTGAAGTGGCCCTTGGTGATCTTACATCCCCGCCTAACGACCAAGCTATTATAGGTAGCCCAATGTGGCTCTTTAAGTTGTTTGTTTTCTAAAAAAAAAGGGATGAGCCTCATCCCCGAAGGCTCTTTCAGACCCAATGGACGATCACTGAGAGAGGGTAAATTAAATTTTAATCGCATATTAGTGGTAAAGAGTATAGCTCGTACATGATACTTGAAACCGTGCTAAGAACGGCTTCAAACCGTGCTAAGATCACGACCCTAACCCGACCGTGGGTGGCTATGTGTTGACTCTATTCAACCTTGTGTTTATACATATCAGAGACAGTGCAAAAGAAGTACTCGTATATTTTTATTGTTTGGTATAAACTTAAGAAATAATTAATGAAAAATAATATTTAGGTGGTACCTGAAATAAGAAGGAAAAAATTTGAGTGGAAGAGGAAAGGAAGCAAGAAATGAATTTTGGAATTATGTTAGAGATAATAAAACATCCTTATTAATGAATTAAGAGTTGCGCTATTGTATCACTAAAGTCTTTACATTAAAATGTGGATATTCTCACCTATTTTCCTAGGTTTATAATTGGATCATTTTCTTTTTACTAGATCCAATACAAATAATCATTTTGTGTATTAAGATACGAGTACATAAAATTAACATTGACCAAAGGACCACGAAAGAATTTGCAACAACTTAAACAACCGTTTTTAGTTTTAAATGCCTAAAGGGTATTGAAAGTAGAGGTGGCAATGCCATTTCAAAATGAGAAGTTATATAAATCCAAGGTACCCAAATTTTGCACATATTTGATAGATTTGTTAGTATAGCTTTCAATTTGTGATTTCTGTTAAATTATGGGACGGAGGAAGTATGTAAGTTTAATTTAACTTCTATATCAATTTGTCGATAAAATTATTTTAAAAAATTAGAAATTCACACAGTACATAAAATTTAAATTAAACAAATCTAGTTTTTTAAACCTAAGTTCGAATAGGAGTTATACATAATTCATCATCCAAAATCACCCCAATTTTGCTGACCGACCAATTTTTTAAACCAGGACTACATAGGTTGACTTTCAACGCAGCGTCCCAATTCTCACTCTTGCAAGTCAATAGACTTTTCCGTGACAAAAATCTCTCCATTACAATTATTTATGCACAATAAATTACGCAATTTCCCAAAAATTAAATAAAAAAAAGAAATCCGAAGAAGAATGTCTCCACTGTTCATCGTCTTCTTCACCCTTTTCATCCTCTGCAATCCCAATCAAGAATGCGCAGAAGCCCAACCGAGCACAACGGGATTTCAATGCAACCCGAACCAGAGCTACCCATGCCAAACATACGTCTTCTACAGGGCCGCCGCCCCGGATCTTCTTGATTTGGCGGCCATCGGAGACCTCTTCTCCGTCAGCCGCCGCATGATCGCCGAGGCCAGCAACATCTCCACCCCGAACGCCACCCTCCGGGCCAACCAGCCCCTCTTCGTCCCCATCTCCTGCTCCTGCAACACCGTCAACTCCACTTTCGGGAGCATCTCCTACGCCCCCCTCGATCGCACCATCGTCTCCGGCGACACCTTCTTCGGACTCTCCACCACACAATTCCAGAACCTCACGACCTACCAATCCGTCGAGGCCGTGAACCCGACGTTGGTGGCCACGAACCTCCAAATCGGCCAGCACGCGACCTTCCCCGTGTTCTGCAAGTGCCCGAACTCCACGGACTTGCGGAACCAGAGGAACTTCCTGGTCACCTACACCGTCCAGCCGGGGGACAGCGCGGCGGCCATCTCCGCGAGATTCGGGACGACGGCGCAGTCAATACTCGACGCCAACGGGAACAGCTTGGTACCCAGCTCGACGATTTTCGTCCCCGTCTCGCGGCTCCCGAACATAACCCAGCCGACGAATTCCACTCCTCCGCCTCCGGCGGCCGGAACGCCGCAGATCAAAAAAGACAGGAAAGGAGCGGTGATTGGGCTGGGGGTGGCACTGGGGATTTCCCTGGGATTGCTGGTTTTGATTTTGGGACTCTGGGTTTGCAGGGGGAGATCGAGGGAGGGGATGACCGGAGATCTGGGGGGGAACGAGAGGGGATTTGAGAGTAAAAAGGAAGAGAGAGGGGGGAAAGATGATGGGTCTTTTACCAGGGAGATGGAGGTGAATTTAATGGCGGATGTGTCGGATTGTCTGGATAAGTATAGGGTTTACATGATGGATCAGCTGTGGGAGGCGACGGAGGGGTTCGACGGGGAGAAGAGCTTGATTGAAGGTTCGGTTTACAGAGGCTCCATTGATGGCCAGATGCTTGCCATCAAGAAGCTCAAATGGAATGCCCGTGAGGAACTCAAGATCCTGCAAAAGGTAACTTTCTAACTCTCTTTTTTTACCCCACGCCCTTTGTTTTTATTGTTTTACTGTGGTACTGGTTAATCAAATTATTTGGTGGTTGAAAGGTGATAATTAAAGGGTGAGGGTTGTCTAACTTAATTCTAAGACCATATGTTATAGGGATTTGACACTGTAAAAATGTATAATGTGGAGTCATAAAAAATATTTAATACGGAGTATCTCTTAGGATGAATGTAAAAGAATCTGATGATGTGTGAATGTGTATTAAATTTTGATTGGTTAGATTTAAAAAAATAAGTAAAAATGGGGCAACGGCGAGATGGCCATCCCCCAAAAAATTGGAAGGCATCGTGGGAAAGGGTATGTATGGGGCGTGAAGAAGGAGGTCAAGCGCTACTCACGCCACCGTAACACATGCTCTAAGATTCACGTGTGAAATATGTAAATTTTTTCTTGCTTTTCCTAGGTTGACCGTTAGACGTTTTTCTTTAATCTGCAAAAGGTTCAATTCTTTTATACTTTCTTTGTCTTAAAATTTTTTCATATAAATTTAATATTAATAGATTCATTTTAAAACATAATTTTGAAATATTTTATTTTTATAATGTATATTTATACTGTATATAAATAGATATATTAATAATCAAAGTATTGCATTGAAAGTCATGAATTCAAATGCTAATTTTAAGACGTGGGAGTAGTGTTTACGATTAAGGTCTAATAAGTGAAGGTGAAGTCAAGAATCACATCAGTGGGGAGTAGCAATATATTGATACTAAATTCATCCAAGGGTAAAGTCTGAATACTTGCAAATATCATATACTACCTCAAAGTATTGGTCCAGATTTAACTTTTTTTAATCAATCGTTTTTAATATTTGACTTATAATTAAATAAAATATATATTGTATATTAATCAGATAAAAAGATATTTTGAAAATATTTTATATAATAAATCAAATAAAACCATTTTTGTATCAATATCTAACATTATTTTTATTTAATTTGAAGTTAAAATTTACCAATTTTGACCAAAAAAGGTCTATACAAATATTCGGGGAGTATTTAATACTGTTGTCTTAAACAATAATTGTCAGAAATTGTTGTTCAATCAAATTATAATTGGTACTATCAAACAAAAAAAAACGTTGGAATAGTCAAAAAGGTTGGGAGTGATGGAGCTGTCAACTAGCATTACAGAACATAGCCGTTCCATCTTCATTTCAACGTCCAAAATATCATCACTTAAAAATTACTACTAGAGTAATAAAAGGTAAATTATATTTTTAAAATATATCAAAAAGTCTCAAAACAAAATGTAACAAAATACTCAAAATATTTTATTTTATCAAATGATCATTGAAAATTAATAAACAAATAAAAGTTAACTCCCTCCGTCCACAAATAAACTTTACGTTCAATATTCACAGGGTCAAACTTTATTCACTTTGTTGGCCTATTTTCGTCACCCATTTGATAAAATAATGTAGTCATGTCACCTCTAGTTTTGTAGATCTTTTGATATAGTCTTTTAATATGTAATTTTTATTTTTCAATTCTACACCATTTTTTATATAAAATAATTTGAAAATAACTTTAGTCAAACTTTGTAACACACAATGTAAAGTTTATTTGTGGACGCATAGAGTATGAAGTTGTGGAAATAAAACTCTAACATTCTTTTTTTGGGACCATGAGAGTATTTTATCTGCCAACAAGTCACCTACAGCGGCCGCGCCTTTGAATTTTATTTCTGCTTTTTTGTTTTACTTTAGTTTGGTGGATAACCTTTGACTCTTCTTGATAATAATTACAATTATAGTTTCTTCATAATTTAATTGTTTGTATGTTTTTATTTATCATTTGATAAATAAATTATTTTTATCAATTATTATTTTGTAAAATTTTGTATACTGTTTTTTAAGACTCTGTACATAAGTTTTACGAGTAATTTTTTATAGAAATCACCTTAAATATGACTAAAACATAAAAAAAGTACCGAAATATAAATTTTAATGTTTTTTCTCTGAAATAGGATTTTGCAATGTGGTAATTTGACTTTGCAATGTGGTAATGTGGCAGTGTACATATCCACATTACTATATTTTTTGATAATGTATATGACCATTTTTGGTAATGTAAGTCCTATTTCGAGAAAAAAATATGGAAGTATTATTTTGGTATATTTTCAATGTTTTAGTCCTACTTTGGTCTTTCTCCCAATTTTTTATTTCTATATCAATACGTAAATAAAGTGAAATTTAAAAAAATGAGATTTTACAAATTGACCAAAGAGGGTAATGTATTTAAAGATATATGAATAGATACTAGCTTGTAATATACCTAAGTGTTAGTGTTCAATGTGTTTGTCCAAGTTGAGTAGTTGAAATCAAACTAGATTAACTTTGAGCATCATTTCAATAAAATTTATTTTCAAGAAATACATTACAAGTTAAATATAATTAACTGATCATCAAAATTTATCTATAAATTTTGACTTTAAAAAATCAAACTGGACATATTTATTGGGGAGGGAGGTAGTATTTTTATTTTTTAAAATACGAGTAACATATTTCCTCATTTCCAATTTACAAATTATTCCAATGGGGTGAATGCTTTGGAATTTTTTCTTGCTACAATACCTTCATCCTTAAAAAGTTTTGGAACATCTTTTTTGAAAAATCTTTTTTCAACCTTTTTAAGAGTAAAAATGCAAGAAGAATTTACTCCTATAAATTTGTGTCACATTGACATTTTGATTTTCCAAACATTGATGTTCAATTCATTGAAGGTAAACCATGGAAATTTGGTAAAGCTGGAAGGCTTCTGCATAGACTCAAAGGAAGCAAATTGCTACCTAGTGTATGAATATGTGGAAAATGGCTCACTTCATTCATGGCTCCATGGGGAGAAGAAGGAGAGGCTGAGCTGGAAAACACGGCTGAGCATAGCGACCGACGTGGCCAACGGTCTACAGTACATCCACGAGCACACGAGGCCGAGGGTCGTCCACAAAGACATCAAGACGAGCAACGTCCTCCTCGACGCCAGCATGCGCGCGAAGATCGCCAACTTCGGGCTCGCCAAGTCGGGACTGAACGCGATCACCATGCACATCGTCGGGACCCAAGGCTACATTTCCCCCGAGTACCTCGCGGACGGGGTCGTTTCCGTCAAAATGGACGTGTTCGCCTTCGGGGTCGTGCTCCTCGAGCTCGTCTCGGGGCGGGAGGCCATCGACGAGGACGGGCGGGTTTTGTGGGCCCAGGCCGAGGGCGTTTTCCGGGGCGAGGGCGAGAGGTCGTTGGAGGAGTGGATGGACCCGTGTCTCGCCAAGGACCCGTCATGCTCGACAGAGAGCGTGAGTAATGTGATGGCGGTCGCGGTGGCGTGCTTGAACCGAGACCCTTCCAAGAGGCCTACCATGGTGGACATCGTGTACGCCTTGTGTAAGAGCAAGGATTCGTTGTTCTTTGATGTCTCCGATGATGGATCGTCCCCCGGGCGTCGGGTGACGGCGAGGTAAGACGGGGCGGCCAAAACTGCATTCCACGTTTTTTTTTTCTTCAAAATAAAGTTCCACTTTTAAAAAAAAATGATTACAAAGTTTATCTCATTTTCCCATCCTGTGTATGAGTATCAACCATCTATTTTCATATTTAATTTTTGAGATGAAGAGAATAAAGATGATTGTTGGTGCCCTTATCATCAGTTTTGTAGTTTTGTTTGGGTACATGATAGGCCAGTTTGGGAATAACGTAACGTTTTTTATTAGCGTTTTGGATAAAATTTTAACGGTGCAAATTAACTTCGAAAATGTTATCACTAAAGGCTATCCGTAGATAGTCTTTTCAAAACGCTAACACTAATCTCTAATGCTATTTCCAAACATGCCTGATGTGTATGATTTTAAATGCGCCTATAATTAATAATAACGTACTCTAAAATATGAGTGATTGAAAGAAAAGTGAAAGAAAACAATGGAAAATAATTTTTCTCGTTTAAAAAAAAGATAATACCCCGTATGAGTGGAAATAATTTTAAAGAGAAAATAAACGAGTAAAAGAAAACAACTTTCTTTGTTTTGAGTAAGAGTCATACACTTGGGATTATATGGTTGAGATGAGGTGGTCAGGTAATGTAAATTTGGGATATCTCTAGCATTTTTTCTCAGAGAAAAATAAAATGAGAAACACTGTTATCTCTAGGGGTAGGCTTGAGGGCTGCGGCGCAAGGCTCATCGTCAAAAGGGATCCTAAAAATTTTCCTAACTACTCCGAATATGTTATTTTTATTCTCTTCCTTCTTAAATGATTGTTCCAGTTTCACTTCACGAAGTTTAAAAAATTATTGAAAAGTAAAAAAGTTAATTGTTGAAATTTGATTAGAAGAGAGAAAAAGATGGTAGAACTGTAGAAGATATATTTTTTACTTTATTAGTAAGTAAATGAGTGAGAATATTATTAAGGACAAACTAAAAACAATGATATCAGGTAGTTAATTGGAGACAAAGAGTATGTTAAAAAAATATTTTCACTTTTGCACTTCATGGATTAGCACACAAAAAATCAAAATTCACACCTCAAAAAACATTTTTCTTTCCCACATGAGACAAAAATACATCGCATTTCTCCACAATCAAATCTATGTGCAGTGGAGTATGTTTGAATTTAATCATCCTTCATTGTATTCTTTTCTGTAGGATTATATTTTCAATGTGAAGTATGAAAATAAATTTGCACTATTACTAAAATTACTTTTTAAACCAGTTGTTTTTGATTTTTTAAATTGGTTCATAAACGATGCAAATACTTTTTCCATCGATTTTTCAACTGATTCAAAAAGTCCTCTAAGAATACATAACTCGCACTTAGGGAGGGTTTTTTGAATCATTTATTTTCGTCTCAGAATTAGCGCGCCTGTTCTGGAGAGACTTTTTCAATAAGTTGTTTAGAAATAACTGATTCAAAATGTGTCTCTCACGCGCCAATTCTAGAAGACTCTTTTTTAATCGTTTGTTTCTAAAGAGCCGATTTAAAAAGTTATTTTTTTTAATAAAAGAGCAGAAATTGGAAAAGAATAGACCAAAACAGCACCATAAAAGCTTCTGCAAACAGAGCATAAACTGACACACAACATACACACACCAAAAACAAATAACAAAATTTTTAACAAACTACTCATATTATTGCACGCACCACAATGTAATAACTAAACTATATTTTTTTTAACGAAAAAATCACACAATTCAATACAAACTCATGAAATTGAACTTAAACTAATTCTTCAAGAAAACTATCAGTCCAAAACTCAAGAATCTCTTCCAATTCAGCTTCTGTGTATGGTGCGGTAGATTGAAAGACCTAGAACAAGAACAAAGAGATACAACGATAAATTTAAAATAATCATAAAGAAGAAGACAAAATATCTAGTTACAAGAAGACATATTTATATTTTTAAATTTGTTTGATTATTTTGTGTACTATGTTATCTAAAAATTGACAAATTCTATGGTGGATCTAAGGTCCGTCATGGACCTACATATTAACAAAATACTCCCTCCGTCCCAAAAAGAGTTTCCTATTTTGATTAACGTGCAAAATCCCGTGAATTTTAAAATGATTTTATTTGAAAATCGGTAAAGAAATAACACATGAAAAAATTATATTTAAAAACTACATCGAAAACTCTACAAAATAAGAGGTGACAAGAATATTTTATTTTATCAAATGATCAATGAAAACACGCAAACAAACAAGAGTTATCGAGAGACCGTAATAGTAAACAGGAAAGACTTTTTGGGACGGAGGGAGTAAGTATTTCCGTACTACTTAAATAAGTATCTATTTTTTTAATAAAAAAATTTAAAAAAATATTTTATGTGAGAAGGTCTAAAAAAGGGCATGCACTCAAGGTGCGTATAGAAGCACTCCGAAAAATTACTTATATGGATTAAAGTGGAATTTTATCTAAAAAGGTTCTATTTTTTCATTTGGCCTAGGGCTTATAAAATGATAGACACGACACTGAAGTAGACTATGAGACCACCGGAAATGGGTGTGACGCCCAGCAGCGTCACCCCCCTTTTAACGCCCGGGGGTGTTAAACACAGCCCCCAAGGGCTTCAAACCGGCGTTATGGCATCAGCGCCAAACATTTGACGCGTTCTTCCCCTCCTCCAACGGCCAAAACGGCTATTTTAGCCGTTAACCCCCAAAAAAATTCTAAATTCAAAGAATAAACCTATAAATTCCCCTCAAAACAAACCTATCTCTCACACATCTCTCACTATCTTCTCTCTACAATTCTATCGATCTTTCAAATATTTGATTATTTATTATAAATATTTATAAACTTTATTTTAAAAATGGGTTGTTGTTGTTGTTGTTATTTTAAAAATGGGATCATCTTCATCCGATGATGAAAAAAGAGCTCTCATTTTTCATTGTTTTGTCACGAGTTATGTTTAATGGTAGGAACAAGGCAAAAAAGAAGAAGCCGAATCCTCCCGACGCCAGACTAAGACGCGACGACAACATTTAAACCGGGATCGAGCGGCCGCCCACGCTTGACTTGGGAGTATTGATTGCATGCATTGGGAATGGAAAAATTGTCCCACTTCGTGACATGGTCAATTCTCCCGGGGAGATCATCCCAAGCCTACTATCATGCTCGAAGCTGTTGCTTCAAATGACTTGTGGTTTTGGCACGCTTTTTTCGGTGTCGCGGGCTCGAACAATGACATTAACATTCTCAATCAATCACTTGTTTTTAACGATTGGATTAATGAGACCGCACCCGACTACTCCTTTGAGCTTAGAGGGACGCTTTACAAGCGTGAATATTATTTGGCCGATGGAATATATCCAGATTATTCCATGATTGTCAAGTCCCTTTTCGAATCAATGTGTCTTAAACGTCAGACCTACAAAAAAAACTTAGGAGGCGGCGAGAAAAGATATTGAACGAGCCTTCGGGGTCTTGAAGGCTAAGTGGCACATTCTAGATCGTCTGTCGAAATGTTTTTCTCAAACAAAAATGAGGAATATCATGTACGCATGTATTATTCTTAATAATATGATCGTAGAGGACAACGGTTCGCGATTTGTCAATACAACCCGGACGGGGAGGTGCCTATGTACGAAGAAAAGAAACGAAGAATTAAAACCGCGTAGAAATTCGAAGCCGAGAGATTCACAATGCACTAACGGCAGATTTGAGCGAACATATCTTTAATCGCTCGAATAATTAATAATTTCTTTGTAGTGTTGTTTTTTTATGGATGTAATATTTTTTTAATGAATGTAACTTTTTTTATGAATGTAATTTTTTTTAATGAATGTAATTTTTTTAATGCATTAGTCTCCTTTTGGTTATTTTAAATACTCCGTAATAAATTAATTAAATTTTATTAATTTAAATTTAGAAAATGTATATTTAAAAATGTAAAAAATGAAGGTTTGAAGCCCCGAGGCTTCAAACCCATTTTCACTGAATCTGTGAGGTAAGTTAAAGATGACGTGGTAGAGAAAAATTTTGAAGCCCCAAGGCTTCACGAGTATTTCCAGTGCTCTGAGAGGACCTCTTTTTTTTTCCTTTCCACAAAGTGGCACAAACCAAACATAGCATAAAAAACTCTATATTTCTTTTTTATTTGTTCCAAAAACATACTATTTCCCTACTAAAATGAATTAGAAAAAAAGACAAGGATAGAAGAAAAACATTTATAATATATAAAATTGGAGTTTAATGTTTTTATTCTCGAAATAAGGTCTAAAATAAATTTACAGTGTCAATCATGTTATATATGTTACCAAAAAGTATTGTGAAATATTCATATACAATGTCACATTACCACTGTGCCAACTCTTATTTTAATAGTAAAAATATAGAACTCTTATTTCGGTACTTTCTCTATATTTTATTCCTATTTAGGTTAATTTCTTAATGAATATATTTTGAACCACGTGTAAAACTTTGTGTCTTTTAAATCTATTCTATTTAAAAATAGTATAGAAATAGAAAATACAACTACCAAATTTTTTAAAAAGTATGTAACAAGTTTTTTTTAAAAAAATTGATAAGAATATTTTATTTATCAAACCATCAATGAAAATATACAAGTAGATAAAAGTTATTGAAAAGTCAAAATAGTAACTATCGAATTCATGGTCAAATGCCGAGACTATTGCCCTTTTGTTTTTTAACACAAGCATAAATATTAGAAAAATGCTAGGGGTACACCAAATGTGTACCCCATTTGTTCCACACTCCCTCCTTATCCACAAAAAAAGGCAAAAAATTTAAAAAAAAGTAAATAAAAATAAAATAAAAATGGGTGGTGGAGAAGGGGGTGATGTACATTAGGGGTAGAATTGCTCTAAATATTACTCCTCCGTACCGAATTAGATTACTGTTTTTTCATTCTCTTTTTTCGATAACTTTTGTTTATTTGTGTGTTTTCATTAAATATTGGATAAATTTCAAGAATGGTATTTGAACTTTTACAAACATTTCAATTTGGTACATGAACTCCAAACCTTTTATTAGAGTACCTGAATTTTTACCATTCTTTTAATAAAGAGTGCATTTGCCTATTACGAGGTGACTTTGTGCCAAATTGCAAAATCCAAATTTTTATTTTTTCACATTGACCCCTATTTCTTCTTTTTCTTCTTCTTACACTCACATAATTTATATTCTTTTCTTTTTCAATCCATTCCTCTTTCTTTCTCTCCTTTCTTTTTCCCCTCTTTTCTTTTATTTTTTGTTTTTCTCTTTCTTTTCTTTTTTCTTATTCCATATTTTTCTCTCTTTTCTTTTGCTTGTTTTTTCTTTTGATCTTTTTTAACACATTATTTATTTTTTATCCATTCTCACTTTTTATCATTTCTTTCCTTTTTCTTTTAATTTTCTTCATTCTGTCCTCTTTTTTTACTTTCTTTTTTCTTTACTTATCTGTTTCACTATTTTTTTCCTTTATCTTTTATCTTTTCTGTTAATAACTATGTTATTTTATATTTAATCAATTTAATTAAACAAAAGATGATAAGAAAGAAAAAAGACTAATTAGTTATTTTTATTTTTAAATTATTTTTTTGAATATTACGATTTTTGTTTCTTGTTCTCATCTTTTTATTTATTTGGCTTACTTTATTTAATTACTTTCTTTTTATTGTCTACAAAAAAAGATCAGTAACAAACTAACAAAATAAGACAAACAAAACACACTATACATTGATTAAATATAAAATAACATACTCCGTAGTTATTAACAGAAAAGATTAAGGAGAAAATAATGAACCAGATAAATAAAGGAAAAAAATAGAGAAAAGCAGAAAAGAAAACAAAACTAAGAAAAAAGTAAGAAATGAGAAAAGGCAGAAACGGAATAAATATTAAATAAAGATTTCAAAAAAGAACTAAAGAAAAAATAGCATACGGAAAGAAATAGGGAAAATTAAAACAGTAAACAAAATTTAAAAAAGGAAAAAATAAAAAAAGAGGACAGGATGAAGAAAAATAAAATAACAATGAAAGAGATGATAAGAAGTGAAAATGAATAAAATAGATAAATAAAGAGTGAAAAAAAGAATCAAACGAAAAAAAGAGGCAAAAGAAAAGAGGGAAAAATAACGAATAAGAAAAAAAGAAAAAAAACAAAAATCAGAAGATAAAGAAAAGAGATAAAGAAAGGGGAGTGAGTTGAAAAAGAAAAAAAATATTCCATCTGTCCTGGAAAACATGAGAGTTTTGACTTTGAAGAGGGATTTAAGGGGAGTGTATTTTGGTATTGAATTTCCAAAAATGTCCTTTGATGTGATGGGTAAAAGTATGATTTGATGGATAGATTATTAGTAAAAGGTATGATGTGATAGGTAGAGTATGAAAAAGTAATAAGTAAAAGTGACTTTTTAATAGAAATGAGAAGCATTTTTTGGGACGGATGAAAAAAAAGGAGAAAGGTTTCAGGGACGGAGGGAGTATAAATTATGAGAGTGTAAAAGAAAAAGAAGATACGAGGGTCAATGCAAAAAAAATTAGATTTTGCAATTTGGCCCAAAGTGACATGTTGCTCACATGGACAAATAAACTTTTAGTGAAAAGAGGGTAAAAGTTCAGATACATTTGTGAAATCTTTTTAAGTTCATGTACAAAAGTGAAATTTTCGTGAAAGTTTGGGTATTATTCTTAAAATTTACCCTTGAATATTTGATAAACTAAAATATTTTTGTCATCTCTCGTTTTATATAACTTTTGACGTAGTTTTTTTATATACCAATTTGTTAAAAAAATAATTTCAAAATACGAGAGATTTTGTCTCATAACTTCAATTTGTAATCTAACGTGGGACGCAGAAACTATTAATCAGCCATTCACAAGATAGCAAAGCTCGATAGAAAACCAATCCAATAATTGCATTGAACCTGTCTAACCAAAGAATGAGCAACAAGCCAACAACATTATCATGTTGTTCACAAGGGGTTAAAATTTTTGCACTTATTGTATAAAATAGTATAATTATGTCATCTTGTAGATTTTGTTTGTAAACTTTTATTGTATAAATTTTATTCTTTATTTTATACGTTTACATCTACAATTAAATAAATTTTAAAAAAAGTAAAGTAAATCAAATTTAGTAACATCTAATGAGAAAATCTTTTCGAGACCGTGAGTATATGTGTCTAAATAGATTTATGACATGTGAGAAAAATAGAGGAATAATGTGGCATGATGAAAGTTAAAAAGAAAAGTAGTGCGATATTAAAAATAAGAAAGAGGTGGAGGAAAGAAATGGATATGGGTTGCTCTTACTCCTAGCACCAATTTTTTTTCTTCATGTTCTTTTTTTTATACTTATTTTCGTGAATTTTTTGTTATAATAACATAATTATGTCCCCTCTACTGTATTGATGGTTTTTCTATATAAATTTTATTTTTTTTAAAATTTGTATCTTTTTTTAAATAAAATAAATTTAATATAAACTTAGTCAATTTTTATTAATCGAAATAATTTTAGAACTTGTGGAGTATATGAATAAAGGTACATCAAACGTTTTTTAGTACTTCCTCCCTCCTTAAATTTGTTCACCATTTAAGAATCATAAAAACTTTTATTAATTTGTATGTCTTCATCAATTATTATTTGATGAAATACAGAGTATTATATTTTTTGTCATCTCTTATTTTGAAAAAATTTAAACGTAATTTTAAAATTTAAATTTTATTTTTTATTTCTATACTAATTTTTAAATAAAATGATTGAAACTTTTAAAATTGTACTTTATTTTGCATAAAAGAAATCACCTTAAATAGAAGCAAAACATAGAGAAATTACCAAAATATGAGTTTCATGTTTTTATTTCATAAATAGGAGTTCGCACTGTAGTAATGTGGCACGGTATACGTGCATAATACTATATTTTTTAAGTAATGTACATGAGCATAATTGGTAATGTAAATACATTTTAACTCCTATTTCAATATATTTTTAATGTTTTACTCATACTTTTGTCCTTTTCTCTTTGCATAATGTTACAAATATTTTGGGAGAGAGGGAATACTCCATATAAACACTGATTAACAATATAAATAGTCTAAATACTTAAAAAATCTAAATACTGACTAATACACAAAACGAAGAAAAATCTCAAAAATTTTAAATTTATTTTGTAATTAATTGTGAGACGAAAAGGGTACATAATAGAAAAAAAGACTAAAGTAGAAGTAAAATGTTAACAATATACCATAATAAGAGTTTAATGTTTTTATTCTCAAAATATGACTTTAAAATCATTTACATTAGCAAACATGATCATGTACATTATCAAAAAATATAGTAAATTTAAAAAAATTATCACAACACGAAATCCTATTTAAAAAAATTTAAAATTTCTATTTTGATATTTTTTCTATGTTTTATTCTTATTTTATTTTTTTGCAACATTTGCATTTTCAGCAGTCGCATGAACTTTTGTTTATTTCTACGTTTTCGTTGGTTATTTGATAAAATAAAATATTCTCGACACCTCTTATTTCGTAAAAAATTTCATGTAGTTTTTTGATATGTAAATTTATTTTTTATATCTATACCAATATATAAATAAAATGAATTGAAAAAATTTAATATTTTAATTCGGGAATACAAGTGTGACAAATATTTAATTTGGGGCGAAAGTGATATAAGTGTGAACTTCGAGGAGAGCAGGTGAAAAGCGTCTTGTTAAAATGATGACACTTTAAAAAAGCAGACGACATGGACGGCAAAGGGACAAGCCCCGTTTCAGGCAAACCAACTCTCTCTCCATTCCCATCCATCTTCTCGCCGGAAAGTTGAGATTCCGGTGCTTCTCCGACATGGCGGCGAACCAGCACGAAGGCTACGCCGCTGCCGATGACTTCCTCGAGCAGATACTCGCCATCCCTTCTTACGCCGGCCTCTCCGTCGCAGACGTCGGCGGCGCCTCGTCGGACTCTGCCTCCACTGTCTCCCAGCTCAGCTCCTCCGCCGGCGTCCTCCACCAGCCTCTGTTCCCTCTGGGTTTGAGCTTGGATAACAGCCGCGATGACGGCAGCGACGCCGGAGGTTTCTCTTTGAAGCCTGTAAGCATGTGATCGTCGTTACAGTGGTTGAAATTCAAGAAATTTCATATTAAAAATGGATTCTTTTTTCAAGAAATTTATGATTGTAATTTCTTTTTCTTACTTGTTTTGCAGGATAGAGAAACAGTGAACTTGGGGAATTTGTACTCGGGGCTGGAGCATATGCAACCCCATGTTATTCGCCACAATGTTCCACAACTTCATCAAGTCCAGGTTAAAAAATCAAGAAACATAAAATATAATTTTGAAATTGTTTCTTATAATAATGTTTTTATGCATGTTTATGATGGATCATATTCATTGTTCAATTCTTTGGGTGTCTGATATATCCTGAGATGATGATGATAGATCTCATGGTAGTTTTGTAAAGAAGAACTTAAACAGAGCATTGAAAATCATATACTCTCTTTGTCTCATAAAAAGAGTCAACTAAATATGTTTTTATTTGTATACAAGTTGAGAAAATATGACTCTTTTTATAGGACAAAAACACGTTGAGAAACAAAACTCTTTTTTTGGGACGAAGAAAGTATACGAGCTTTGCAACAATAATTAGAACTGAGAATGTTCGAGTTTCTTGACGATTCAACTAGAACTGTTATTTTTATCAAATACTCCTTAATAGAATTCACACTTATGATAAATAAGTTCGCATTGTCGTATATAGTAGTTTCTTACTCCGTATGATTTTTGAAAGGTAGTGAAATCTTAGCCTCTAATTAAGAAGTCTCAATAATTTTCCAATTGAAGATCTGTTTTTTTCCTGAATGAGCTTTCCAAATAAAACAGAGGATAGAGCCATGAGATCTTGTAAGCTTTTACTGCATTCTAGTTATGTACTTACAAAAGACATTATTACTTATAGAATGTGGCAGGCTATTAATTAATGCATGTAATTAGCTTGTAAGATTTTATAGGAAAATATTACCTTTTAAGATGTTGCTGAATTGTTGAATGAGGTAATTTCTTTTCTTCGTTTTTAATTGTTTTTACCATTATTTTGCTTCACACTCAATTGTTCTAGTCCTTAATGTCACTATCTTGATTATATGCTATATTGCAATTTCTTTTTTTCTCTTTCAAATAAAATATAACCTAACATGATTTCAACTCCCTTGGAGTTTGGAGAGTCTAGTTGTATACAGTCTTACTCCTGTAAAAACGTAGAGGTTGTTTCCGTTAGACCGTAGATGCAATACTGCATTTACTGCTCAAAACTTCACAGAAAGTAAGAAGCATGGGAAGTTTAATGCTCCATTTTGTGTCCAAAACTAAAACATTGTCAATAATGATGACTCTTTCAAATAAAATATAGTTTCCAATTCTTTCACAAATTTAAGTCTTTCCTTTATCAAGAAACAACTATCTTGACTTCTTCAGATGTAGTGTATAACAATTTAAGGAACAATGGATTTTTAAAAATTCCTAACTTTAGTTTAATTGCAGTCTTTTCAAGGGCAACCATCCCCAAGCACAGCAGTTAATGTCCCACACCCACCAGCTATAAGACCTAGAGTTCGAGCACGAAGAGGACAGGCCACAGATCCTCACAGTATTGCTGAGAGGGTAAAACTATTTATCTAAAACATTGAATGATGGTACTGTTGGAGTATGCTTGAAGCTTTTTCTATAGGAAATGATTGCATGCCCTTTGACTCTTTTGCAGCTACGCAGAGAGAGAATATCCGAAAGAATAAAAGCCTTGCAAGAACTTGTTCCCAGCTGTAATAAGGTTTGTACAGTTTCTTTTCCACTCGGTCTGTGCGAAGAACCAAAAACCTTAACTCAGATTTGTTCGTGTAGTCTCGTAGTGAAAGTTTGGAACTTTTTCTTGCCAGACAGATAGGGCTGCAATGCTGGATGAGATTCTGGACTATGTGAAATTCTTACGCCTTCAAGTTAAGGTACGTATTGTGATGCGCCACATATTTACAAACTATTCTGTCTACTATGGAGTCTAATAGACCAGAGAAGTAAGAAGCAAGAGAAGTTTAATGTGTCATATTTGATTTAGTCCATTTTTACGTAAAGCTAAAAAGAATCGTAAAAAATGACTCTTATCTCTTTTGGGAAAGGGTATTTTTTTTTAATAAATGATGTTGGTGCAATGACACCAGTACGGCTGATTGCAATCATGCAAAACATGAATAACATAAGACTTGATTTCCTTACATTCGGATGTCTTGCAGAAATGGTTTTCGTCGTTATATTGAACACCACTTATTGCTTCATCAGCAAAGCTGTCTTACAAATAGAATTTGAATAAAAATATGCATACATTGCCCTTATTTTTTGACTGGAGAACTTGGATATATACCCCCTTAGTCAATGCATTACATACAATTCATCCAAACTTGGCATGGATTGGCCAGTTGGACCGGTTAACGAATCGATCATCTGACTAGTTTGACCCACTTATGGGGGACATGCAATGGATTTGGTGTGAACCGGCTGGTTTTGATGTTGAACTGGTGACCGAAGAGGATGCAATAACTTTTTAAAAATGTTTTGATAATGTGCCATTTCTACCCTTGGCTATGAACTTGTGGAATTTTGTTACCCTGTGTTATAAATTTTGATTCTCTGAAATATTTTAATACATGGTATGAGCAATGAACTACGAACATTTTTATTCCCCCTCTTGAGATTTTTTAGTACTAAGATTTAAGCTTGTGTTGGTAATAAAAACCACATGATTTTAAACTACACCAAAATCTGTATAAGACTCAAAATGACAAATTTCAAAGAGAAACAACAAATTCTAATAAAGATTACATCATGTGGTTCAACAAGTCATCCATTATTTACCGCTTGGAGAATACAGAATAATTGTGTGATCTGTCTAATAAGATTGATGACATTCATGAAATTAAAGTGTCAGAGTTTTTTTTCTCGTGCATACGAATTAGTGCACCTTACATACTTGGAACTTGCCATGTAAGTGTGTATGTTTGTGTATGTTTGTGCTTTTATACCATTGAATTATCATTATACATTTTCTACTTTACTCTTTATGAATATATTATTATTTGTTATTATTACTCTTTTTTTCCATTAAAATCCTTGTTTTTAACTCCGTTAATGCTTATCCTTTAACTGCATAAAGGTACTGAGCATGAGCCGGTTGGGCGGGGCTGGTGCAGTGGCACAACTTGTTGCAGACATTCCTCTAGAGTCTGTTGAGGTAATTGAATACCCTGTTTTATTTTCTAAAAAAAACCTAAAATAAAAGCAGAGAAATATTACAAAAGTGAATGGCTTGGGTGTCTACCGAGCACTTCTTGATTTCCTTTTCCTGTTGTTCAAAAAAAAAAACTCCGTTTAGGGAAAGAAATGAGTGGTTTGCATTATGTTTCTCTCATTTGCATAAAATTTTCACTTTTACTTAAACTGTGCGGAAAAAAAACATACATGAGCTTCTTTCTGGAAATATTTCAGGGTGACGGGGGCGAAAACCGGCCAAACCAGCATGTATGGGAGAAGTGGTCAAACATAGAAACAGAAAGGGAAGTGGCAAAGCTGATGGAAGAAGATGTTGGTGCAGCCATGCAATACCTCCAGTCCAAATCCCTTTGCATCATGCCCATATCTCTTGCAGCTCTCATCTACCCCACACACCAATCAGGTGATTCCTCCTTGGCCATTAAGTCGGAACCATCCGCTCCTTCTTAGAGTCTCCGAGTCCTTTGCGCGTGCCTACGCCCAACTCATGATTCTCCCTTCTATGCCAAGTTTCTCTATTATTGTCACTTCTTACAAGTCAATCCGTTCCGTCCGGGGGCAGTGCAATCCAACTCAGATGCCACTATTCTGCTTTTTGACACAGCCTTTGCCACTTTCTTTTTATTGTCAAACAAGGTATGATGTCTCACAACTTGAAGATGGCTAAATGTGCAGAAGGCACTTTCTCCCATTATTACTTCTATTATTATATTGTTGTTGGTGACATGCTCAAAAAGATTTTGAGTATATTGTGTTGTTCAAACTTATAATATATACCCATCCTCCATATCTCTCTGTTTTGTTTTTTCAAATCTCCTGGTGGGGACATTTTCATCTGTATGGGCACTGTAAAAGCACTAAAATATGTGCATGTAACTGTCTGCAAGTAAATGTTTCTTTCAAGTGAGATTTGTGCCTTCACAATCATGTTTAGTCTGTGTAAAATTACCAGATATCAACCCAACCATTGGTAATGAGAGGTGTAACACACATTCATATAAATTAGTGTTTTTTTAAGAATGGGTGTTTGATGTGGGGCTTTTTATCCTCAAGATGTGTACCTTGGTCTTTTTGCTTCAAGTTGTCACTTGGTTGACTAAACTTGAGGTTCTTATTTGAGGTCTTAAGTCTTTGCTATGATATGATGTAGAATCATGAGATTATATTCTAGAAATAATTCGCAATGCTAAAGGCAATTCATATTCTTATATATTAGTCTTATTTAGTGTGGGAGATTTCTATTGTTAACAATATGAGTAAGTTTGAGTTCGAGTTGTAATTGTGTACGTTGAGTGTAATCCACCATCAAAGTTTATCACGCGAAACGATCACTTAAAGATGCGTCCTATGGACTCCTATCACTCAAGGGCGTCTCTCTACTCTTGTCGATACAGTGTAAACAAGTCATTCTTCAGAAGTCATTTTCTTGAAAATAATTTACTATGCATTGGCAAATGGTATCTTCTGTTCTTTGGAAAGGATAAAGAGACCAAAACTGTTTTATACATTTACACTTGGGAAATCATAATATACAATTGTGAATATTTTTCAACAGCAACAGAAATTAAGATTGATAATAATATTACAAGACAGATAATGAAACCTCCATCGTTTTCTTGATTCAGATTAAACAAAGTTTCAAAGACACTGCATCATAAGTTCATAACTAAAAAAAGAAAGAAAGAAAAAGCCCTGTTGTCACTTCTTCTCAGTTGTAGACTTGTAGTGCAGAGAATTGCAAAAAAAGAAATTGCTCTGATGCTTCAAGATGTGCATAATTTCAAATTCCACACCCCAACCCCCTTGCCTCAGATCCTTTCATTATTCTTAACCTCTTGCAAGATGACAAGAACATTCTGCAATAAGCCAAAGAAAGCACAATCACTACACTGCACATATAAAAATCCAATCTTTTTTTTCTTCTTCAAAGAAGATAATATATATGCACACATGTAAGGCCCAAGAATGGGAATGGTGAAGATTGAAGAACTTACCCCCAAGGGACATCTCCAAGAAGCATCAAGTCACCATCTTTATCTTCATAAGCAGGTGCATATTCAGACCCTTTGTAGCCTTCCCTCTCAGAGTAATCCCCAATTGTGAGTTTGAACATGTTCTCCAAAGCACTTATCAGTTCTTGATACCCTTTGTACATCTTCAAGTCAATCTTTCTTAGGTAAGGTGCTCCATCCATGCTCACTTTCACATACATTCCATTCTGGTTACCATCCCCTCCTCCTCCCTTATTTGCCCTGAGGCTGTTTTTCCGGTATGATCTGACGGGAGGCCATCCCACTATCTGTGACCTGCATCAGATAAGATTGACCATTTAGGATCAAACTCTCAATCTTTTGGTTGTGGGCACAAGAAAGGTTTTTTTTATACTCTAACAGGAACCCGTTCGGGGAAACGGACTTACTTGGAGACTGGCGAGGCATCGGCCTTGGATTCGCAGTCCTCTGCTTCGGATTCTTGAAAGGTTCTCTTGTAGCTTTTGGCAGTTGACACTGTTTCTTGGTCACACTCTCCTTCAGTTCCAGGGAGGCCCAGCCTGAGCTCAGTTGCCATGAGGCTCAGATCATTCTCATGTCCCAATACACCTTTCATTTTTTTTCTTCTTTTGTTTACTTCCACTACTGGTATAGTATCAGATCAGAGTGAAAGACAGAATCTTTCCGGTTCAAGAATGGAGATGGAGGGGAAAAGAGTGAGTCTTGATGCACAGATTGTGGGAAACTGTTGTTATATATAATAGAAGAGTTGTAAAGGGACTCTATTATGAAATCTTTTTTCATAAAAAATAAAAATGGGGTTTCTTTTTCCATTATAAATTAGGGACAGATGAAAGGGAAATTGTCTGGAGAGTGAAGAGGGATGTGGAGGCAGATGTCCGGAGATTTAGGGGACAAGTGAGGGACAAAGGTTGGAGAGGGCATATGGGAAGGACTTCTGGGGACGACAATGGAATGAATCCTTCAATTTGGGAGGCAGTGGAGAGCAAATTCTGGGACCATTGTGTTTCTGTTTTGCTTTGCCACACTCCCGTTTCTGTGTGTGACTAACAGGTGGTGATGGGCCCGAACCCGACCTTAAATAAACCCGACTTGCTTTTTTGGTGTTCGGGCCTCTAATATAATGAAAGACCCGTTTCACACAAGTGGGCTGGATTTTGAGCTTGTGACCATCAAAATAATTTGTGCTGGATCTGAGTTTTTTGTTATTATTCCTTTTCTTTCAAAACAAAAGTTGTCTTCATTATTCACAGAGTAATTTTTACTTATTTTCCCCTTATTTTTTGTTATTTATTTCATAGAATAATTTATTTCTTTGACGAAGTTTTTAAATACATACGGAGGAAATTCTTCTTCTTCTTTTATATATATATATTTTTTACATTTTAAAATTTTTTAAAGAAAGTTTTCAAGTCTATAAATCCATCATATATCTCCAACTCCAGTTTATCCATTCTCATCTCACTCAATGTATTATTTGTTTTTTTAAATTGTTATAATCCTTTTTTATTTGTGTTATCATTATTTATCTATTTTCATTAATAGATGAATATTTTTATTAAATTTATTTATTTTTTTTTAGTTAAAAGTGATGAATAACGTAAAATAAACAGAGAGACGGAGCGAGAGGAAGATAAAATCACATGTATGTGTTCTGACCTGATACAAGAAAAAAAAAGAAGAAATGATGATAATCGCAGGGATTAGGACGGGGCGAGAGTCCGCCCCATCGGACGTGCCCTTAAGTTAGGTTCTTGAAGAATAAAGATGTGGGGTACGTAGTTAGTGGTGAATTAAAGACTTAGAGACAGTTTTTAGGCATGAAATGGACGTTGTTGGTCCCTACATATTATTCATCATAGGGTAGTTTGGTTAGTTGATTTAAGGACATTCCGGTCATCTTTTCACGCGGACGACTTAATTAGTAGCTTTTAGATTTCAATGCTCCCTCCCATTCCTCCGCTCCGCTCTAGTGTTCCACACTTCTACCCTATGTAGTTTAGTTAACTAAGTTAACTTCTCCTTGCCAAGGACCTAGTAGTTCAAAGCTAAGGTACTCTTACGACCTCTTGTTTCACGGGCTTCAATAGGTTAAGAATATATGAATAGATATTATATTTTGTAATCTCGCTCTTAGTCCCAAAATCATCGTCTTGTTTCGAATAACGTGTAACGTTTCATCACTTTTAAAACAATAATATTTAAAGTATAACAGCTTACATATAAAAAATGCACACGCAAATAAAAGTTACTGAAAGTCATCTGGAATATGTAGTAATTTTGGAGCAGTGGGGTATTGAAGTTTAAAATTAAAGAACAAGAGTGAAAAAGAATATATATACAAAGTCACAAAAAATGTAACTAAATATTGTATTCGACTTAAGTCAAAGAAATTAAAGATATCGTCTCAAAATAACTTACCTGGCCTCTTTACTATTATGTCTTCTCAATAAAATTTGTTTGTTTACATATTTTTGTTGACCATTTGATAAAATAGAACATTCTTGCCGACTTTTGTTTTGTAGAACTTTTGATGTTTAAATATGTAAATTTATTTTTTTTATTTCTATACATATTTATAAATAAAATAAGTATTTTAAAAATTATACTACCTCCGTCCCCAAAAGAAGTTCCCTTTTTGACTTTTTGAAGATTTAAGAGAGTGATATTTTTGTGTTGACTGTCAAAAATACCATTGATGTGATGGGTAAAAGTAAGATGTGATATGTAGATTATTACTCCCTCCGTTCGAAAATAAAGTTTACGTTTCTCTTTTTTCTCCGTCCAAAAATAAGGTTTACATTTCTAATTTTAACCCACACTCTTCCAAAAATACCCTTCTCTACCATTTCAATCTTCTCTCTCCCTCTCCCCCTTCCTCCTCTTCTTCCTTAGTTCCTTTTTTTTCTTTTTCTTTCTCCCATCCTCCCGATCTGTGAACTCTCCCCCTCCCTCCTCTTCTTCTTCCCCTTTTCTTCTTCTTCTTCTTCTTCTTCTTCTTCTTCTTCTTCTTCTTCTTCTTCTTCTTCTTCTTCTTCTTCTTCTTCTTCTTCTTCTTCTTCTCCTTCTTCTCCTTCTTCTTCTTCTTGCTTTTCTTCTTCTTTTCTTTCTCCTGAGCAGAAACGGACGGGACCAACACCAAATGAACCGTTTTTGCCCGAGGATCACGAATATCCAGTCCTTTTTTTCAATTTTGCCTTGAACTTCACTAATTGAATATTTTAGGATCGGGAAAACCCTAGGATCCGAAATTGGGGGTTTCTTCAAATTGGCTTCAACTTTGCAATTGATGGTTCCTGGTGGGGTTGCGCGACGTTAGAGGTGGCGGAGGTGTCCAGAATTGAGAAAAACCCGCCGGAAACCGCTGGCCCGGGTCGCGGCGGTGATCTGGTGATTCCGGTAACCAAATAGATTCAGATTTTGAGCCGTCAGGTTTGGAGGAAAGGGTAAAAGCCAATTTTGTGCTGTTTTCAGATTTTGAGCTGGGCTGTTTTCCGTGTTCAGGTGGAAAGGCAAAAGGGGAGAAAGGGGTATTTTTGGTAATCTAAGTGCTTAGTCAACTCCCACTAAAAATGACAATAAGTCAAAACGTAAACTTTAATACCGGACGGAAGGAGTAGTAAAAAGGTATGATGTGATAGGTAGAGTATGAAAAAGTAAGAGATAAAAGTGGTTTTTTAATAGATAAGAAAAGTTCTTTTGAGGACAAAGAAAAAACGAAAAAGGAACTTCTTTCGGGGACGGAGGGAGTAAAATTTTGCACGTCGTTCGAATAAGAAGTCTCAAAAGATTACAAAATATGCAAGCTTTATTACTACTAGTATGAAATAAAGAAGAAGAAGAAGATATGATAAGGAGTAATATTCTCTCTATGTATCCAAGTGTATTATCATGCAAGTACGTACTCCGTAGGAAAGAATAAAAAGATGTGGCTGGAGCGGGCCATGCAATATGGGCCAAAGTTCTGAAGGTCATTATTCCGTACATAATATGAGTTCTCATGT